TCCCTGATGTACAAGCAGAACTACGCATGCAGCTGCAGTTTTTGTCAGGCAGGGAGCAGCTCTCTGCCTGAGAATCAACAAAAACACGAGCCAAAGCTACGCGACTTATTTGCACGCTGGCAGCACAGGCTAATGCTAACTGTGCCAAGTGAGAGCTAGTAAAATCTTCAGGTTACACCCCATTATCATGTGTTGTTGCAAGTGCCATGGCATGTTCTCCAAAACTTCGTGTTTTGAGAATGACAAAGTCCAATGAAGTCATCCTTTTAAACTCCCCTGCCTGCGAGGCCTGGTGCATTAGCCTTCACAGATCCAAGCCCCTAAGTCTCAGAGGGATAAAGAGGAAAACAACATCCTTATCCCTGAGAAACACAAAGAGCTCCAACCCCCTTTCTGATCCATCTATCACCACGAGGAGATTCGGGTCTGGTTTCTCTCTGCTGGCTGTTGGAAGAGGCAAGAGCTCGGTGCTCGGTCTTTCCTGCGGCGTGGTGGGGAGTGCCACTTGGCTGATAGGGAAAATGGAGGGAGACCACTCCGGGGGATTTCTGTTACTGCTTTTTTAGCAGCTGCACTTGGAAAGCTGCTTTGGGTGTGCTGTGTTGGAACAAGCAGCCGGGGTGGCAAATAGGGCCAGCTTGTCACTGATGTGACCATGTCCTCTGAAAAAGATGGGTCTTGCTGACCCCATCATTGGGACATCCTCACTTTATCTCCACTGCTGACAAGTCTCCGGGTGGCCACAAAATGGCCTTGTTTCTTGAGAATAAGATAGCCAAACAAGATCTTAGGAAACCAGACATTTTTTTCTGTAGGCATACATGTACTCCCCTAATAGATAGATAGATAGATAGATAGATAAAGTAAATAGATAGAGCTCAAAGCAGCATTTTTTTTCCTGGATTTTCTCCCATGTCCTTTTACCAGAAACATGAGCCTGAGCTGGGGCTTGACGAGATGAGGGTCCACTGTCAGAGTTTTTAGGGATCTTAAAATGGGTGCCTAGGGGTGTGGGACTACTCCTGGTGTGGCTGGAGGCTATTTAATGTGCAGACTGCTTTCTGCAATTAGTGCTGAGCAGGCACCCTGTGCCATGGGCTGGTAGCTAGTGAGGTTTTGTCTGCCATGGATGGAAAAGCCTGATCTTTTCTACAGTAACTGCTGTTCATGGAGCAGTCTTCCAGAGAGCATGCAGGATTTCTGTCTCTCATGTTAGGGAGGAGAATGCTTTTTCTGTGTTTTAGAGGGTTAGACCCAAGTGACTGACAGGTCAGGTGCTGACCTGAGCTTGGTTTCACAGAGGCAGAGGGTCAGATGGAAACAGGTGGCAATTAGAATGGGTACATCACGTTACATCCGTGGCGGACACCCAGGGATGCTCAGGGGGCTGTGAATCATCCCAGCGTACCATATTTCCCTCACCAAAAGCAGTCCTCTTTTCTCTGCTACTCTGGCAGCTAAGCCAGGCTCATCATATGGGTATAGTCCCACAGGGAAGGCTTCTTCCATGGTAGGAACAGAGCTTCATTTTAAACTCCACCAAACCGAGATTATCTGCATAGCAAATGTGCTTGTATACCAGGATAAAAGCAGCCACACAGGAATTTACTGCAAGATATCCAAATGACTGAGAACTCCTGTCCTAAATCCATTCAACTGGTCTCTGCAGACAAATACACAGCGTAGGGATGATATCCTATGCATGCTATTGTATGCTGAATGAGGCCACCTGTATTTGGAAAACATTGTCTTCTGGTTCCTCTTCCTGTTGCTGGTTGCTTACATCTTTTTAAATAACAGTAATTTCCTACTTGGCAGCCTGTAGCCCTACTGGACCAATGTATGATTCCTGCAGTGTGGCCATCAACTGATCTAGATCTAGATCTTGATCTCCTCAAGGCTGTGGGTATGGCATCTGTCCCAGCAGGCCACAAGTCCGTGGGTTTTGGCTCTTTGCATCATATTTTGCCATTCTGTATCATTTCACAACAAGGGGAATGGGAGCATCAGGGCCATTGCTCAGGTTGACTATCGCTCAGGTTTAATGGTCACCGTGGTGTCCCAGGGCAAGGACACACAGGACAAAAGCCCTGAAAGGACTTCGCAGTGAAATCCCCTATACCTCGTGTTCCTGGGAGCTACAATGTCTGTCCCAGCTCACCAGCTCACCAGGTAAGCGAGACTATGGAAATTATGGTGGGAAATGTAGTCTAGAGGAAACCCAGCCAGAAAAACTTCTCATGAATAGCAGCACAGCAAAATTGTTGCAGATTCTGGTTAATGCTATACTGACGAAACTTAACATCTCGGCTCAACTTCACAAACTTAGGCTTTCATCCTAAGGAAGCCAAACTGAAATTAAATATCGTTTGGCTTGTTGGCTTCTTTGTTGTTTGCTCCCAAGGAAAGAAGGAACTCTCTGAAACAGTTCCCTGCAGAAAATTCCAAGTTCGCAGAAATTGCATTTCCCTGCCCGAAAGAGCTATTTCGGTGAGAACTCCCAGTCAGCTCCAAAGCTCAGTTATTTAGGGGCGAGCTTATGTGGAGATGTCAGCGGTGTAGCCAACTATTAGCTGTTAGCTGCAGAATTTGATCTCTTACATATTTCTCTTTAATAGAAACAGAGCCATCGACAGACTCGGTGGTTATTTGTGTTTCAGATAACTCCCTGCCCTCAGCTTGGGGAAACCATCATTATTTCCTTATGCCCAAGGAACGATTTATTTAAAGCAATAGTCTCTCCATCTAATAACTACCATAAACAACATGTTGAGATGTCAGAAAGCCCATGGCTGGAGAAAACCTATTTCCTCTGGGAGGAAACTGTCCCAGGGGGCATCAGCTGCAGATGGAGCAATGACTTAGGGGCATGGTACATGTCCCTCTGCTCCTCTGGGTGCTCATCTTCTTTTGGTTTTTCCTTGTCCAGAGAGGACCAGCACCTCTCGTGTCCCTCCTGGGGACAGAGCTCTGCCCTCTTGGGTGTGACCCAGAAGCCCACAGGGGAAGTGGAGACACCTGGTGATGCTGGCATGTGCTTAACAGAGCCAGCAGCTGTGGCCAGGCCTGTAATTTCCCGCAGATCAAAGGCATGGTTGAAAGCAGCTATTTAGCACCGAGACGGAGCATTTCGGTGTGCATTTCCTGGGCCAAACCCATTTCTTTCCAAGGAAGAGATGTGCTGACCTGACATATCTCCTAGGGCATCTCCAGATGCTGGGTGAGTGCCATTCCCAGCTGATGACTCCTCCCTGCTCCATGGCTCCTGACACGGGCTCCACGTCACCATCTCCTTTCTCATGGTCCTCAGCTCAAGACAGCCCTGGTTAAAACTACCCCTGATATAATATCTTGGGGCTTTTTTTTTTTTTTTTTTACTTTTTTTTTTTTTTTGACTCTGCATGTGGAAGGCAGCTGTCAATTAGCAGCTGAAAAAAAAAAAAAAAAAGCAGCCTGCAGTGCTAATGAGAGCAAACCTAATAGAGACCTCTTCCAAATTGTTCCCATCCATTTTTCAGGGCTTTTAATTGCTGTCATATTAGGAGGATGCCAGAAGGAAAACATGAGGGAAAAGCCCCATTCAGAGGTAGATTCCTCTCTGCCAGGACTGGCTCAGAGGCAGCCTCCTCCCCTGAATTTCATTTACAGGAGCTTCTCAAGTCTTCTCCAAAGTTACATTTAGGCCTGGGCCCCAGCCAGCTCCTATAATATTTCCCCTGCAGCGAGGATGGGAATGGGGGCCCTTCATTTCATACCAACCTCCGCAGCCGTACCGAAGGCTGGGGACGGATGCCATCTCCCACTGTGCTACATTTTGTCTCTGTGTTTTGGACAGGATGTAGTTGAAAGGGGGATTATTATCTACGGAAACAGCAACAGCGAGATACTCGATATTTCTAAATTCTTACCCAATAAAGGCTTCCTAATTATTATGCTGGTAAGGCTAGGTGTGCTGGCCACTGTGGACAGTGAGCAGGCTGATTAAAACACGAGAAATACGGGGATTATTAGAGAGGGCAGCCACAAGACCGTGCACCACGGCTGCCCCAGCTCGGGGAGCTTCCTGCTGCCTGCGGCTGATAAGGAGGCCCCGAGCCCACAGATTCACCCCGCTGCCAGTGCCAGGAGGGGACGGGAAGGGAGGGGATGCAGTTTCCTGATGCTCCAGAGCCAGCTGGGATTGAGTTACGTTATTCATTACTGGTTGTTATCATTGGGTTTAATCCGTGGGTCTGTGCACGCTGATGCTGGGGGATGAAATCCCAGCACAGTGCACACTGGGGATGTCCCTTTGCAAGGACATGGGGAGAAGCAGAGAGGGACACAGCTGCTCACATCAGCTGTGGGGGTGTTGGGATGGTGCTGGTGGCCAGGACGTGGTGAGGGGGCTCCTAAGATGTTAGAGCCCTTGGGGCAAAGGGGCTACACATCCCTTTGAGGTCCTCCTAGCCAAAAAAGCCTCTCCTCCCCATGATGCTCGGCCCTTCCTGCATCTCACCAGCATGGCCTGAGTAGGGGCTAATGCACCAAGCGTGCCTTTATGACCTCGGGACGGTAGCAGCACAGCAAAATAAACTTTCCCCAGCTGCACCCTCCTGGAAACCAGCCTGCTCAGGAGTGCAACATCCCGGCTGAAACTCCTGCAGCACACTGTGGGTTGCTCCATCCACCAGTCCGCGCGAGATCAAGCCCGTTTTCCCCCCAGATTCCTGGAATACCAAACGCCGGGGAGGACCCAGAGCATTCCCCCAGGTCCAAGCTCCATCTGTCCCGGACTGAGCTCACCCAGACCATCTGCGGGGTCACGATCCGCAGCGCTGCCGACAGTGCACGTGTGTGCACGCGGGGTGACGATGGGGCCGGAGCGGTCCGAGCCAGCCATCTGTTCCACTAAACGCCACGTGTGCTCACTGTTTTTAACAGGGAACTGAGCAAAACAACCCCTCGTGAGGCAACGGCTCGCCAAGTCCTCAAAAATCATCCTGGGCAGAAAGGTAAAGGGGGCAGAAAGCTGGTGCTGCGCAGCGAAGGAGAGCTGGACACGTACACCGGGGATGTTTGCAGCTTTCCAGCACCACAGGGAGGACACAGCCCTGGCCGAGAGGGCAAGCTGCAGGAGGGCTCTGCTTTATTCATGCTCACTATGTGCCAAGGAGAAGCAGGGGACACAAATCCAGGAGCTGGGCAGGTTCAGGAAGGCAGCACTCAGAGAGACCTTAGGAGACATCCAGGAGCAGAGCCAGGTTTCAGGTACAGAATGATTTATATATTTATTTATTTATTTGCATATGGTTTGGGTTTTTTTTTTCTTAGCAGCAGTGCTTCCATTTTTCTGCTCGGCCACCTGCTCTAAGGACAGCCGCCTGAGGTCTCACACCTGTGTGTGGTTAGCGTTTAAAGCAGACCTAGGTTAAAAGTGGACTCCTCCACAAGCCAGAGGAGGGGAAACATCTTCCCTTGGTGCTAGCAAGCAGCAGGACAGACCTTGGGGCAGCAGGACAGGGTCTGGGGACACCAAATTGTCACTCCATTCCCAGCTGCTCTTCATCCAGACCCCGTTTTCCCTATGCCCTTCATTCTCATGGATGTTATTAGGTGGCAGAAACCCTGTGCTTGCTGACATCCAAGCCTCGTCTTGGCTGCAAGAGGAGCTGATTTCTCCCACCGCCTACCAGGTGGATGCAGCATGATGTGGCAGCCCTTTCCATAACAGCTTTTCCATGCTGGAAGGCTGTTATCATGCCCCTCTGCCTTGCTATCCCGGGCTAGACTAAACACAGCCAACTGCCTCATCCGTCCCTCGTAGCTCATGGCTTCTCAGCCTCTTGTCACTCTTGCTGGCTGTCTCTGGATTGTCTCCAAGTTGCCTCCGTCTTTCTTGCTGTCAGCCCTATTAAATTTGGGTGCTTGCATCACGGTGGGGCTCAGCACCACCGCCAGGCGTGGGCTAAGACATGACAACTCCGGCAACGCCAAGTGGGGAGAAGAAATGCAGCGAGCCCTCCAGGTTTATGTCAGCGAAGCAGAACAACAAGAAGTGATTGCTTCCAAGAAACCTCCCTGAAACCTGCGATCCAAAATACTTTCCATGCCTCTGTTGCTCAACAGCATGCCAGCATTCTCCAGGGGAAATGGTTTTCTTTCCATGGAGCGCAGCGCTTTCACGGCACTCCTCGGGAAAGGGAGAGGTACTGGTGACAGCAGGGTTTTGGGGCCATTCACTAATGGGATGGGGTCTCCACTTCCTCCCGTCCTATCCCAGGTGCCCCTTGGTCAGGAGGTAGGGATGGTGACACTGGTGTTGTCCTGTTGTTCCCCACAGGAGACTTCTCCTGACACCCATGAGTCCTTCTGGGAATGTATTAGGGTTACTTCATCTCCCTGCACTTCCCCAGGCCTCCAGGCAAAGGGCTGGCTCACTCTCTGGGCTCGGCAGAAATGGTTGATGTCTGTCACAGCTCTGTTGCTGCTACTTTTTCAGGTTTTGGTCAAAAAGCAGTGAAAGCCCCCCAAAATGTGAAAGATGAAGGTTCGGGCTTGTCTCCTCTGTGGGTACAAATTGACCCAAGCTCGTTGACTTCAACAGAGCTGTGGAGGCACTTTTATAATCAGCTCTATAAATAAAGGGTCAGGGAAAAATGATGAATGAGACCTGGAGTTATCTATCCAGCCAGGGTGGATTACTCACAGGCACTGTGCGTAACTGATCTTGAAAATAAATTCCAGCTAAATACTTTAAAAACTTGAAGGAGGGGGGGAGTGGAGGTGAAACAAGCTGAGCTTCAGGCAGCCCTTAAAATTAACTCTTCCAACCTCTGTCCAGCAGCAGAAGAGGAGAAATCTGTCCCGTGTGTCCCTTCACAAAGAGCAGGCTGTGGTGGGTGAAAAGTCAGCAGTTGACCTCTGCTTATTGACACCTGCTTGGGCTTCCAAGGGCAAATTCAGTCCCCGTCGCATTTTCAGGGCATTTTCCAGCCAGCTCCACTTGGAGAGATGTTAGGGCAGACACGAGGGCTACGAAAATCCAGCTCCAGAGATGTGCTTCATCAGGACAAAGCTGAACTTAATTAGGGCTGCCTGGAAGGTTTTCTCTGCAAAGCTCCCCTCATGCAAAACAGAGCTTGAGTCGAAGAGGGAAGATTATTAGGGATTTTAGAAACAGGGTGGATGCTGTCATCGAAAATGCATTCTTCAAACAAATGCTCCTTTGGGGGCTTTGAAGTGCTTCAGTTATTTATTCATTCGACTGTCAATGAAACATTTTTACAGAAAACTGCTCTAGCAATGGAGCCTTTCCAGGCATGGTGGGGTGATGGATTGCTGTTCTGTATGAAAATCAGTTAAAATTTCTCAGCCTTCCATTCAAACAGGAGACTTCTATCACTGGCACAGCAGTTGATCAAATCACCATCATGCTTTAAACTCAACAACCTCCAGTAACCTAATAAAGATATATTTAAAATGTATATGACTGGTTATATGTAATTTAACAAATGTATTCCTCCTGCTCCTTAGCCTGACTTTACACAGAAGACATTTTAACAGCTTGAGTGATGTTGCTTTTATGATGCGCGAGTCATTTTACCAAACAGCATGATAAAAGTTTGCTCAGGCAGGAATTTCATTAACTTCAGGGTCCTTGTTGCACTTAGCGGCATTGCTCTTGGCATGCAAGAATAATGGGTTCCAGGGCCTGGAATCTCCATTATTTTCCATCCACTTTATTTAAAAACCATTGGACGGATTATAAAAGGCTGCTAAACAATGAACATGCTGTTGTTGCTTATTGCTTGTTGCTGTGCCCAGATGTTTGGTGTTGCAGGGTTCCCTAAGAACACTTCGGGGTGCCACAGAAGGAAAGGCATTCGGTAGAACAATTCCTAATTGTTATGATTTATTTATTTTTTTGGCCCTCTCCTGCTGAAATGTGGCTGCACCTCTTCCCTTCCAGCCATGCACACAATGTGCGAGGGGGACAGAGGGGTGTGATGGGGTCTGGGGGTGCAGGATCACCAGCCCTATGCCTCCCCAGCCTGCATTAAGGTCGGTACCATACAAAGTGACCACGTGCATGGTGCCCACCTGCTTTTTTTAAAAAAAAAAACTTTCAGGAGATGGAAACTGAACTCTGGACTCCCTTGGGCACCTTGAAATATATATTTATGGGCGAGGGATGAATAGTGCCTTGTAGTGGCCATGTTGTCAGAGCCCACAAGCTGGCTCTGCTCCGCTTGCCAGCCTTTTTATGGGTCCCTGCTCCATGGTTAGTGTAAATTAGAGAAGACTCCAAAATAAATAGCCTCCTTCTGTGCTCATGAGCAGGTCATGCACGTGGGGAATGCCACGTACTGTAAATAAATGGCTAATAAAAGCACAGTGTTCTTGCAGAATAAATAGCTCGGTGGCTTAAATTAAATAGTTACGTCCACAGCCGGTGAAATATGGAGATGCTGGGTCTGTCCCAAAATACCTTCCTGGGGAGTGGGTTCTGGAAAATTTGGGAATTAAGGTATAAATTATTAAGGCTAAAACACATCAGCATGGCAAAACACAGGCTAACGCAGGGAAAGCCACTCGCCGTAACAGTGACATTCAAAGAAGCGGGGAAAGTAGCAATTTAGTAATAATTTGCTAAAATTACATATTTTTTTTTGCATTCAGCTTTCGCTGACGGACTTTTCAAGATCATTAAATAAATGTCACAGGAACTCTGGAGGTGGCGAGTAATCAGAGCAACTGGGAGAGCTGAAACGGCTGCAAGGGCAAAGAAAATATTTTGCAAAGGAAACATCGCTGAACTCTTCCACGGAAGACAAAGGAGGTGAAAAAGGAGAAACTTTCTGTTTCATTTTGAATGGATATTTTTCCGCTCATGTTGCTTTCCGGAAGACAAAAAAATGTCAGCAGAAATGCTTTCATCAAAAGGTAATTCTGCTCGAAATGTCTGGCGGGTGAAGAGAGGCTTTCATCTCTCGGCTCTCCCCGCTGACGGCCGGGACAAGTCACCTTTTCCAGCAGGGGAGCTGGGATGGAGCGAGCTGTTTTTTTCAGGGACACCGGCATCGAGCTGTCCTTGAGGTCAGGCCTTTTTTGCCGGGCACACGCAGTGCTCTGTGCCAGCTCACAGGCAGAAGTATAAGTGGAATTTAGGGAGCTTATTTATTGGCCTCCTGCTCCAGCCCTTAGTCTGGAAACCATTTGAGGAAAATTGATCGAATGATTATGTTATGAGTTGTGCTCTTGCCGTTGTTATTGTCATAAACTCTTACAGTTCCTCATTTATGGAGTGTGCATGTCTCTCTCTTTTTTTTTTTTCTTTTAGCCCAGGAATTATTTTAATGCTGGATGATACTGCTTCAGCCCTTCTCACAGCCACCTTCCCTTTATCGATTATTCTATTCCTTTCAAACCGAACGGCACAGCCTGTGCTAGAAGCCCGTCTCCCCACACTGCTCTCATGTTATTGATGTAAAACTGGCTGTTTCCAGCCAGAAGCAGAGCACAGACCCGGGGACAGTGTTCCTCAAACCCCACAGAAACATCCTCCCATCAGGCTGATTGAGGAATTAAGAAGAAGTCACAAAACCCACTGTGAGAGAATTAAATCGGAGCGGACAATGGCAATGCTAATTGCCTGGCAAGCTTTTACTCAGCACTCAGAGGATTTTTTTTCCAGCTGGCTATGTCCAGCCTTATCCCTCCCGGCACGGAGGCAGGTTTACAATGGGATTACGCTGGCTGTGGCTCTCTGCCCCTTTGCCAAACGGATCCTTTCGGATGTCCCCCAGCATCAGAGGGCTCACGCGTGTCTAGCACTGGGAAACCCACCCTTAAGGACCTACATTTAACCTCCTCTTTAATCCCTTTTTCCCTCGTGCACCTCCTCTGATGATGCTCAGTCCCTTGGGAAATGCCCAGAGATGCTACATGTTGACTTGGTCAGGGTCCACTCGATTTGGTTTTGGCATATATAGTGCCACAAGGAAAATCCTGGTAAAAACTAACATTTTGAGATGCCAAGAGGAGGTGAAGTGCTGCAGGAGCATCTTTGCCATGCCCCCAGCCTCTGCTCCTGATGCCCAGTCCCTGTCACACGATGCTACTGCCCAGAACCCCTCTGCTCTTCACTATACCCTTCTCCTTTCGCTCTCCTCCAACTTCTTTTTCCTAAAAATTCATTTTACATAAACTCCCCATCTCACCCAGCACCAGCCGGCTGGCCTGACCTTCCTGGGAGAAATTAATGAGGGATAAAACCCAACTGTGCTGCAGATAAAGGCTCATCCGAAGCCTCTCCAGCTTCACGCTTGCCTTAGACCCCAGTGGAGGGTATTGGGGGGAGCGAGGAGAAATATCAGGATTCCTTTATGGGGAGCAGAGGACCATGGGGCATCATGCTGGGCATGTGGGTTGGGGGTGGATGGGCTCCATCCTCGCCAGGTCACCACATCCTGACTCCGTGCACAGGGCACGGGGAGGCTTTGGCAGTGGGCAAACCCCCTGCAGTTGATGGAAGACTTGCTTTGCAGTTAAACAAAGCCTCTCCCGGAGCCTGCTTGCCCTCCCCAAGGAACAAAATATTTATACAAATGTATCAGGCTTGTTATAAAACCCAAACTTCTCTAATGAAAAACTTTTGCTCGGAGAAGCAAACTCCCCGGCTTTGCGGTGAGGGATCCCGGGCAGGCATTTCGCTGGGTGACCGCAGGGAGAGGCACTGCAGATCTGTTTCCACCTGCTGCTTCCTCAGGGAGCAAAAATAATCTCCTTGCTCTCGGATCCTGCCACCACCTCTAACTGAGCTCATCGCTGCCCGCCGGCACTCGCTGCTTCGCAGTGACAGCTCTGGCGTGGGCTTTGACCGCACAGAGAGCCCACTGTAAACAGAGAAATTCGGGCCAAAACTAGGCTGATGAACAGCCTCCATGTGTAAAAACCTGTCATTTTCCGTGAGTGTTTGCAAACGGAAGGGTCTTCATCTTTCCTCCCTGGTTTCTATTTCTTCTGTTGTTTTTTCCATGAAATAAAAGGAGAGGGAAAAGAGAACATTTGTTGTTTTGGTTTGCCTGATGGAGTTAGATTCCTTTCCCTGAGATTTTTTTTTTTCCTCTCGCTTTGTATCCACCTCGCTTCCTTTTCAGAACCGCCTTATTCCAGCATTTATGGAAACTATGTGGCAGAAGACCAGAAGGATTTTTTTTTCCCCTGTCCTTGCTTCAAGAGGTACTTCCCCTGCAGTCATGTCTACAAAGACAAGTGGAAATTTGGGATGGAAAGGACATGTTGTGTTGTCTTTTGTGCTCCTGCCAAGGCAAGATCTACCTGTATGGTAGATCTTCCCAGGAAAGGAAGCTTTGGTTTTAGCTTTACCCTTATCTGCTTCTGCTGCCCCTGTGCTTGCACCCCTGTAAAATGACCTGAGAACATCCCCTTGCTACGTGCATGCACCAAACCCAGTAAAATCCACCTGAAATCACAAAGGTTAAGCATTTTAAGTCCCAGTTTAAAGCCTCTGTGTTTGCCTGAACAGAGTGTCTGCTTCCACACTGCTCACCCTGCAGGGCTGATCACACTCCAGCTGCATTAGCAAGGGCAGAAATCTGTTCAGCTGCACACAACCAGCACAGCATAAAGACTTTTGCTGATGCCGGCTGGGATCCTGCTTTGGCAGCTCCTTGTCTGTTGTTTTTTTCATGTGCACACAGTGCAAAGGCTTGGAGGGAAATGCTGACATTGAGGACAGGCAGCAAACTGCTTGGTGCAGCAGAGCATCAGCACCTCGCTCATGCTCCCCCCGTTGGGTGGATGCTCATGGGGACCCCTGCGTGGCGAGCACACCTGGATGGAGGGGCCAGCTGTTAACAGAAGACAAAGGACCCATTGCAGAGTGGGTTTGGAGTAACTGGGACCAAATTCTGGCAGCTCATTGCAAGCATCAAGGCCGCTCCTGTGCCAGCAGCGATGGGTGATGTGCCCGAACACTGTGCACGGGCACAGGCAGGTGGCTGGGGCTTGGGAAGGAGCCGTAACGAGGCATCACAGACACAAGGTCTTCTTTGTCAGGATGTCATGGAGAGGGAGACAGAAGAAGGAGAAGAGTGACTGCGGGAGAGGCTTGAGCACAGCTGCCTGGACTCCTTACCCCCCGCAGATCAAAGCCCGCCTTTCTAATTGCGCCTGTTATTACGCTCACCCAAACGTTCTCCCAGAGTCCCGGAGGCTTTGCAGGGGGAACAGGTGTTTGCAACACGCATGCGATTACAGGAGATTAGCGGGTTTAAAAGCCTGCCCTGGGAGACACTGTCATGCATCATGCTCCCGTCACGACGGCCAGGAGGTTTGCTGGCATGGGGTTGGGGACAATGCCATGGGGCAGCCTTGGGCAGAGGCATGTCCTCACCCCATTCCCCAAAATGCTCCCATGCTGGGCAAAGGATGCCCCTTCTATTCCCCCAAATTTCCCCCCAAACACCCTGTGCTGGACTTGGGATTTCCCCTTCTCCATTCCCCCAAATCTAGGGTATTTCTGGGATTTCCAATCAAGAGAGCTGTGTGGTGGAAGTGCAGTGAGGAGAAGTGATATTCTGCTGCTCAAAGTTATCCAAGGTCTTCATTTGGATTAAAATATGCAGAGAACAAAAACCGCTGGCCGAGGAGCTGGGGCTGTTTGGGAGGGGACAGAAACTTGGCCAAGGATCCTGTGGAATGAAGCAAAAACAGGAAAATGCATAGACATGCCTCGAAAGTCATGAAAACAAAGTTTAGGTTAAATACACAGAGGGTCTCCTTTTCCCTTCGCAGGTTAAGAAGGGGCAGCCCGTGCCTCTAGAGCTGCTGGCAGAACTGGTCACCCCTGCTCATTCCCTGCTCGATCCAGGCAGGTTGCTTTGCCATGGCCCCATATGAATGGTGGGAGGAAGGGGACGAGGTCCCCTTCGTGTCCTTCCCTGCACATTGCTCTAAGTTAAATACGGTGCCTGAGCAGCGCTGTAAACACCTGCGTATAAAGTGCCACCTAACACAGAACAGCACATTAAATTTGCAGGATCCACTTTATTCGGAAAGCCAACAGAGCACAAGCAGCACTCAACGTTGCATTAAACTGTCCTGTGGTAATAAAAAGCAAGCAAGGCATTTCCAGCAAACAGGGTTTTCAGGCTGGAGTTGAAAGAACAGGGATGAGGCAGGGAAAATACCAATCCCCTAGAGAGCTCTTTGTTTATTGGAGTTGAAAATGATGCCCTATAAAAACAAACAAACAAAAATAAATAAAAAAAAAATATGGAGGGGGAGAATTAATAGATTGGAAAAATAACTTGGACTTTCTTTGCGATGCCCCCAGCCCGCTACTCTTTGTGGGATGCTCCAAATGCCCCAACACTGGAGCAAGCACACAGGGCGTCCCCATGTCAGGGCGTTCCCAAACCATCCCTGAGCTGTTTGGGTTGGCTGCTGGTGCTTCGTGAATATCACAAGGGGGGACCTGGTCGCAGGCTGCGACCTCACGTTGAGCACTCGGAAAAGGGCTCGGCGTAGGAAATGGGCTTCTCCGGCACGCCAGCCGCTCGCCGCTTCCTTTCCGCTGCGCACAGCTCGTAAAAACGAGGCGTTTGTCCACTCTGATTGCAGGGGCTGGTGTAAAACAGGCTTTGATGTAATGGGAGGAAATAATGTATTTAGGTACAGCCTTTAGTCCGGTCGGACGCAGCTCATATAAATCAGGGTACTGAGGAGATGGGGAAGGGTGTGGAGAAGTTAAACTTGACCCTTTACCGCCGTTTTCTTTAACTTTCACATTAAATTAACTTTCCTATTGTTCCGTATCAGTGTGCTGAATCTTATTTTCCCCATAATGATTCTTTTGTTCCCCTGAAAAGCTTTTGAACGAGATGAGAAAGGGAAACCTTTTGTAATCATCACTGCAGAGCGTGCCTTCAGATCCCAGTCAGCTCACGAAAGCAGCTGGGGAAATACAGCCCTGCCCCAACACCCCTGGTAATCTTTCTTGGAAATGGCTTGGTGTGACTCTGAGAACAAAGAACCGCTCCTTGGGACGGCTCGGCCCTGCAGAACTAGGACCCATTTTGGCTGCTGCATTAAAATTCATACGGGGCGTAAATGAGTTTCTGAGATGTTCGTGCCATCACCGCCATAAGGAGCTGAATAAAAATCACATTAAATATACTTTACACTTCCGCAACAGCTGGAAGCCAAGACTTAAAGTGCTTTTCAATCCCACGGGCCAAAGGCAAAACCAGGATCCTTTCAGTACAAGGAG